AGAGGAAGCTGAACACATTCCATATGCATTGTCTCCGACACATTTTTGGTATCACCTGGCAGGACAAAGTTCCAGAGTAGTCCTAGAACGAGCTGGAATTTTTAGCATGTATACATTATTGAAACAGCAATGTCTACATTGGCTTGGGCATGTTGTAAGAGTGGCTGATGGTTGGATTCCAAAAGATCTCCTGTAGGGAGAATTAGTGCAGGGAAATTGTCCCAGAGGGAGACCACAGCTGCAATACAAGGATATCTGCAAGCGGGATCTGAAGGTCTTGGAAATGGACCTCAACAGATGGGAAACCCTGACATCTGAGCGTTTAGCCTGGAGGCAGGCAGTGCATCACGGCCTCTCCCAATTTGAAGAGACCCTTGTCCAGCAGGCTGGGGCAAGGAGGCAGTCACGAAAGCAGCAAAATCAGGGAGGTAGACGGGGTACAGACTGTATTTGTCTTCAGTGTGGAAGGTATTGTCACTCTCGAATTGGCCTTCTCAGCCACACTAGATGCTGTTCCAAGCCCTCCATACAGAGCACGATACCATAGTATGTCGAGACTGAAGGATGCCTAATCTAATTTTCTCTCCAATATTTTATCTGATTATGAGTCAAAATATTGGAGAGAAAAGGAAAAGAAATAAGGCTGAAAAGAGAAAAGGGGGAAAGAATAGGACACTAATTATAAATAAACCTACTAAATGACAGGAAAGCAAAAAAGAGCATAATCCAACCAAAACTGCATTCCACAGTTTATATCTTGCAGTATATTCCCCAAATTATGAGCTATAATGCCTTTGCTCACAGAAAAGTTTTAAGAGATACTCTTTCCTCACTACAATTTACACAATCCCACAAAATAAGGTCTACTGCCTCTCACACTTACATCTTTAAGATGTTCCCTATTCACACACTTTGTCTGAAAATAAAGGCCGTGCTTAAATATCTCAGTTTTGTTATTTAGTTGTTAAGTCATGTCTGACTCTTCGTGACCCCATGGACCAGAGCATGCCAAGCCCTCCTGTCTTCTACTGCCTCCTGGAGTTTGACCAAATTCATATTGGTAGCTTCAATGACACTGCGTTACCATCTCGTCCTCTGACGTCCCCTTCTCCTCTTGCCTTCACACTTTCCTAACATCAAGGTCTTTTCTATCTCATGAGATGGCCAAAGTATTGGAGCCTCAGCTTCAGGATCTGTCCTTCCACTGAGCACTCAGGGTTGATTTCCTTCAGAATGGATAGGTTTGTTCTCCTTGCAGTCCAGGGGACTCAAGAGGCTGCTCCAGCACCACAATTCAAAAGCATCAATTCTTCGGTGGGCAGCCTTCTTTATGGTCCAGCTCTCACTTCCATGCATCGCTACTGGAAAAACCATAGCTTTGACTATGCGGACCTTTGTTGGCAACGTGATGTCTCTGTTTTTTAAGATACTGTCTAGGTTTGTCATTGCTTTCCTCTCAAGAAGCAGTCGTCTTTTAATTTCGTAGCTGCTGTCACCATCTGCAGTGATCATGGAGCCCAAGAAAATAAAATCTGTCACTGCCTCCATATCTTTCCCTTATATTTGCCAGGAGGTGATGGGACCAGTGGCCACGATCTTAGTTTATAATGTGATAAATAACAGGATTTCTATCAAGTGCTATGAATAGGTATTTGGAAATTGAGCAGGTGAAACTGGCACCAACTGTGAGGTGGTTGGAATTTCTGCATGCCTTGATCTGACTTCTTTCTTTCATCCAAAAGTTAAAGGAACATGGGGCTCTGCTTCCCGTTGGGTTTCCTGTATATTTTCATGTTAAGACGACTATTTATTTTTTTAAAAAAAGAAATATGACCCAGCCCAAGTATGTTTACTTGGAATTAAGTATAACTGAAGTTAAAACGAAGTTAAATTTCATTTTAAGTAAGGATGTCCAGAACTGCAGTATATTTGTAAGCTTGCTTGTTCAGAGGTACAGTAAGCAGAAATTAGTTGACTAAGATGCATATGTCTTCATAAAATGGGACACACTCCTATACTGGGTTATCTAGGAATAATCCCTGCTAACAAACCAGGAAACATTGATGGGATTGTGCTGTCATGTTCTGTAGTCATCCTAATCAGTTTTGCTTAGAAGTGTAACCTAATAGTTTTAAAGGGCTTATTTATATTTCAAAAATGCTTTTAGAACTGCATGGTTAATATCTGGCCATGAATGGCTTATAAAGGAATATAAAAACCTCTATTATTTTTATATTATTGTGTTGCTTCTCATGAAAAGCACAGGAGGCAGTATTATAACAGGTGTATTGCAGTTTCTCGAATTATCCCCCACCTAATCTGCTATGCTCCTCCCTTAACAAGATTGAAGCTTTCTTTTAAAGCAGCAATGTTAGACTAATAGCATAGCTGCTTTGTGATTCGTGCCATGACGTAATAAAGAGTGTATATCAAAAGGTGTTTAGTGTAGCCCAGCAAGCATTAGTGAAGCATGTGCCAAGTCAGCTGAGCAGGATTTTGAAGCAGCCATGAAGTATCCCCTGGTCCCATTAATCAATGATCTAACATTTCCTGTCCTTTTCTTCTGGTTTTGTTTGCCTTTTGGGATACTATTGATCTTGCTCATTTTCTGGTTTCAGCATCTACTTAAAGAAGGTAAGTCTAGCTACAAGCTAGTTAAGATGTACTTGTGTATTAAGGTTTTACTTTAAGTATTAGCCTCCTTTTAAAAGCAATGGAATGCAAGACTATTTTTAGCATAATGCTGACTGCCTGAAAGAGAAATCAAGTGCTTTTAACAATGAAACCAATTCGAAAGGAATACTGTAAATATTTTTGGTGTAGTCGTAATAATCATCATATGCCATCAAGTGCATTCTGACTTATATCAACCCTTTTCAGGGTTTTCTAAGTAGAGAATACACAGAAGGGGTTTATCATTCTCTTCTTCTGGGGGTGTCCTGGGACTGTGCAGCTGGCCCAAGGCTGGCTCTTCTCTCTGTAGGCACAGTTGTGAGGCACTCCCAACTTCTGGCTCCCGCACCAGCGTAAAATAAAGTTTGTTATGTGACTTGTACAACACTGATTTGGCCTATATTTCTTTCATAATGTGCACCAGCTGAAATTAAAGTTTGTTATGTGACTTGTACAATACTGATTTGGCCTATATTTCTTTCATAATGTGTTTATGGCTGTGGCCAAAAAAAGTTGAGAATAGCTGCTCTAGAGACTATTTAACTACAGTGTCTGGAGGTGACTTGGATGGTTAAGATTTTTTTTTTTGTTATGTATCAATTTAATTTATTCTGCTATTTTATACCTTCTTCTCAAAAACACAACCCAAACTTCTCATGTGTCATTTTCTAAAGACATCCTTGAGACTAAAACACATATGTGGTTCTCTGGGTATTACTAATACAATGCCCATCATCTCTCATGATTGGCTCTGTTGCCTAGGGCGCATAGGAGCTGCCAGCCAACACCATCTAGAGAGCCTGGTCTGTTCTGTAAAGAGGAAGATGTTAGATGCACAGGTTTCTGTATGAGGCACAGAATGAAGTACTTGCTTCCCAAATCTAACTGCATTTATTATTTTAACTTTGACAGACAAATGCATTGTGTTATAGTGTTGTGTACTGTGTGCACAAGTATTTATTTGTGTATCTGCACATACACACCACAATGACCTAAATTACATGCTTACTATAATCTGTAGTAGATGTTTTTACCACAGGTTATGAGCAAATGGGTGAACCCACTTAAAACGCAGTCCTCTGTTTTAATGTGGCTCTTTGCCTTTAAACAGAGAACATGTAAGTATGAGACCCCTCCACTGGAAGAGAGCCCCAGCCTTCAGATGGCAGCAGCAGGGCTTCCTCTGTGGTCAATCAGGCCAACAGAACCCTTTCCTCCTTTGCTGAGCTTGCATGTCCAGCAGATGGCTGGATGGTATCAGCCACTGGGGAGCAGGTTGGCAGCAGCTGCAGTGGAAGGGAAGGGAAGCCTTCCTGGCCATTGAAGATGCTGCTGCACTCCCCACTCATTGCCATCTAGTCACCTGCCAGAGAAACAGGCCCTGCAGAAGGGGAAGGCCCCTCACACCCCAACTGACTGCAGAGGAAGCCCAATGCAGTTTAAAATACTAAAAGTTGGACGCCGTTTTAAGCTGCAGTATGGCTTGTGTCATGTGAAATGGCCAAAGCCACTTCAAATTCCACTTGCCATTAACTGGGTGTGTAGTTTTGTCCTGCAGAGCTTGGTCCTCATCTGAAGAATTCCTGCCAGCAGTTGCACAGGTCCTCTGCACTTGGTAGAATTAAGAAAGAAGACCAGGGTGCAGGGGCTGTTGCGCATCGAGTTTATACCTCCAAAGGCATCCTAATGGCTTCCTTTCTTTGTCAATGAAGGATTTACCAATTTATTGTCCTGTTGATACAGATTTCCTCAAGCAATACCCAAAGATTCTTGGGATCCCATGGCTAGATGCTCTGAGCCAAAGGCTACTAAGATGGTACTTTTTTAGTCATACTATATCAAGGGACAGCCCACTTGAATGCCAACTAGTTACTGACTCTGTAAGTAGAAATCCACGCTGTGTTTGCTCTGAAACTCACTGGCAGGTCTGGGCACTGGGAAAAGACATGGTAGCACCTTGTAGCTTTAGGGTGAAACTGCTGCTCTGAGGATAAAATTACCTAATATGAAGAGTGAAATGGTGCCATAATAAAAGAGGTCACTCTTGCACATGTCAAAATTATTAGCAGTCCATGCAATGAAATGTACAAATTACTTGTTGTATGTAATTGAGGCTGCAATGCAATGCCCATTCATCTGGGAGTAAACCCTATTGAAGTGCATAGAATTTTACTTCACAGAAGACATGTTGCTCTTTAAAGCCTGCAATTTAAAGCATGCCTTATTGGAGGTAAATTTCTGTTAAGGCAGTGTGGCTTGCTTTTGTGCATATCTTTAACTGCATGACTGAAATGATGAACAAGTGTTCTCTCTAATCTGAGCATTTGGAAATGAAACAACGAAGCCATGGGACATCAGCAGCATTTTCATTTAAAAGAAGGCAAGCATGATTTGTTTGTTTGTTACAACCATGTACGTATAAACATATGAAAATTTGCTTAAAACACTGGGCTTATATCTGGTTCAGATCAGTGTGCCTGCAATATAGTCCTGGCTCAGTTGTGAAAAATGATTGTTAAAATGTTATTTGACTTCTCTAAAGTGCTGCATGATTCATTAGAAATAGCTGTCTGTTCCAGGTTGGATATTGTGAGTTTGTTGTCTTCTTGAAATAAGTATATGGATTCTTCACTTACTACTCTGAATACCACTGACAATATTATTGCCGATTTATCAACATTTGGTGCTTAGCATTGAAGCAAAACAAGAAACAAAAGCAAGTCTTAAGCCCTATTCAGTAGTTTTTTCATTTGACATCATCAACATGGATGGGGGGGGGGCAATTAGCTCCACCTCCCTGTTTTTCTCCCATGAGCAGCAACAAATTTGAAGAGGAAGGGTTCCTGCTTGCATGCAGTGTTGCATAGACTCTAGAGATGGGCATTAACTGCCAAACTGGTGGTTCATGCTAGTTCGTACTTTGACCAAACAGGTGTTCAGCACTTCCCACCCCTGCCTCCTTTGCTGGGTGCCCATTTAGAGGCAGCACCCTGGCTTCCCTGCTCCTTTGGACATTGCTTCTGAATAGGCACACCGCAGGGGAGGCGAGGCTGGGAGGCACTAAACATCGGTTTGACCAAAGTATGAACCAGCACGAACTGCCAGTTTGGTGGTTCATATCCACCTCTAATAGACTCTGTAGATGAACAGGAGCCTCTCCTCTCCAAACTTGTTGCTGCTTACAGAAGAAAAGTAAGGACAGGTGGGTGAGACTAATCATGCCTTTTTATCAGTATAAGTGGTGCCAGATAAGGTAATGGCTAAATACAGCTGTTACCTAGAGCAGTGGTCCCCAACCTATTCTGAACTGCGGACCTGTTGAGGGATGGGGTCTGTGTGCGGGGCGACTGGGCACCCAACACACTTGTGGGTGGGCAGGGTGCACGCTTGCACATGCTTGGGTGGACTGGGTGCACTTGCGTGCATGCGCAGGTGGGTGGGGCACCTGTGCATGTGGGTGGGTATGTGTGCGGGGAGCGAGTGCATGCAGGGGAGCGGGAGATCTGTCTCCGTGGCCCAGTCTGGCCATGGACCGGCATCTGGCCACGGGCTGGGGATTGGGGACCCCTGGCCTAGAGACAAATATATGTTTGTGTTTGTATAAATAATGTGAAGATCAGGAATCTGACTTGACTTCCAAAATGGGTATCTAAAGAGGGCAAAGTCAGTGCATTTCATGAGAAATTTGCACTATATTTTTCATAGCAGAGCCAAGTGCAGCTGGTGTAGCAACCCGAACTCTTAGTCCATCTCCTTTCTACCACATTATCCCTCCCTGTTGCTTTATTATAAAGTTGTTCACTCTTCTTGCTTCTCAGCCCAAGTACCCATTACTAAAGAGATAAAAATGCCACCTTCTGACAATCCTGATGGGAACGTTGACCTGCCGTCTGAAACTGAATCCAGAGGAGATGACAGCCAAACCACACCATACAGAAGAGCTTCAAAAATTGACACAAGAATGACACCGCCTGTGAAAAATTTAGGCCCCAGACCCGCTCATCTGAGTTCAAAAATCACAGTCAAGAGAAAAGGCTTATGTGCTGTTATTTCAGACAGATTGGACCAGTGCATAAAACAGTATTGCTCTGAGAATAACTCTGTGTATAATACACTGGTGGTAAGTGAAACAGGGCATACTAACACTATTATGCACATGAGAATTTCTTCTAATCCTTTTAGAAATAAAGGTCAGAGATTTTCTTAAGTTAGTCTTCCCAGATCAAGGAATAATATATTTGGTGTTCTTAAGCCCTGTTGTAATTATGGGGTTTGTATATTGTATAATTCTCCTCAAGGCAATAACAACACCAGCTCCCCCCCCCCCCAGAATTGCTGCCNTGGCCATCTTTGGAGATGCTGGGAGCTGAAGTTGGACAACATCTGTACAGAGAACCACTCTAACTTTTAATACAAAAACAAAACAAAACAAAACACAGAGATTGAATATAGCTCAGCCTTGTCTGCAGCATGCTCTGTTGCTTTGGTTCTTTTGGCTCCAGCCTGGCTGACTTCTAAAACTGGAGCCTGTCTAGGCCAGTTAGCAGAAATGTGTTGGAGTCAATGAGTATGGTGTAGAGAATATAGCAAGAGAAGGTTCACTTCCTATCATCTGTAATTCATTTTTCCTGTGTTCTTTTTTTAATCTGTATTCTCAGTCAATTCTGGCTGAAGAATTCTGCAGACATGGTTGTCAATAATGAATTATATAGTCCCTTCTGAAAACCCAAACCAGGTACTGGTTTCTTAAGTGGTGCCTGTACAGATTTTAGGTCTACTAGTTCTTTATACTGTGTTTATTCTCAGCATGATTTATGCCTGCAGACAATGAATCTAAGAATGTCCACAGACTGTCCACACCCTCTTATGCATTCTGTTGATTTCCCAGATGTAGTTTACTTCAAGAATTGGAAAGCAACACAACTTTGTATATGTAGTATAAAAAGAACATTTAAAAAAAGACACAATGATCATGAAATCTCAATGTTGGTTGAATAGTCCTAATGTCATGGGAACTGGAAGAGGCAGGAAAGTATCTGCTGAGCCTGGACAAAGAGAGGAACAAGAAAGTATCTGGATGCCATCTGCTGAGCCTGGACAAAGAGAGGAACACAGTTTCTTTAAGCAAACAGTCTATGGTGGTACGGGACCAAGGGATGAAAGGGGCCAAAGTAGAGCCTACCCTACCATTAGGCAGAATAAAACAATAATCTCAGATAGTGGAACCTGGGCAGAGGGACATTAAGAATCTTTTAGATGTTCTGAGTCCCAGCTATTCCCTTTTGTTGCATTACTGGGTGGATGTAATTTGTTCTGCTCTCGTAAGGCGGCTACTGCCCTCCAGTATGGTAGATAAGATGCTATTCCATTACTAGCTTTCAGTTGGTGGTCTGTCCAGTCTATGAAACTGGAATGGAGAAGAGGAGGCATCTTGTCCTTTGCATCAGGCAGCAACATACTTTGGGTCACTCACTGACCTAGCGCTCAAAGATCTGACAATTACTGAATGGAGTATAAGTCAGCTGTAGGAACCTAAAATAGGAAAGAGTGATATAGAATAAAGTAGGGTATAGCTTGACCCAGCTCTCAAAGATTTGACAAAATACTGAATGGAGTATAAGAAAGTCAGCTGTAGGACCCTAAAATAGGAGAGAGTGATATAGAATAAAGTAGGGTATAGCAAGAACTGGAGAGACAAAGCAGGTTAAAAGTGACTTTGGTTAATACTACCACACCACTCTGAATATGCCTGATTTCATTTAAGAACACAAGAACAGTATTGCTGGATCAGGCCAAGGGCCCATCTTGTCCAGTTTCTCACAGTGGCCCTACCAGATGCGTCTGGGAGCACACGAGACAACTAGATACCTGTTTCCTGATAAACCTCCCCTGCTTCTGGCATTTGCAGGTACCTTCCTTTTAAGCCTGGAGATTATACATCTCCATCATAGCCATCTCCATGGACTCCGTCTCCGAGTATTGCGGGATCAGGCCAAGGGCCCATCTTGTCCAGTTTCTCACAGTGGCCCTACCAGATGCGTCTGGGAGCACACGAGACAACTAGATACCTGTTTCCTGATAAACCTCCCCTGCTTCTGGCATTTGCAGGTACCTTCCTTTTAAGCCTGGAGATTATACATCTCCATCATAGCCATCTCCATGGACTCCGTCTCCATGGACTTTTCTTCCAGGAATCTGTCCAATCCCCTTTTAAAGGCATCTAGGTCAGATGCCATCATCCTATGGCAAGGAATCCCACAGACTAACAACACTCTGGGTAAATAAATATTTTCTTCTGTCTTTTCTCACTCTCCCAACACTCAATTTGACTGGATGTCCCCTGGTTCTAGTATTGCATGAGAAGGAAAAGAGCTTCCCTCTATCCACTTGATCCATCCCCTGCATAATTTGATCTAGGAAGCTAAGTAGTGTTGATCAATACTTCAAGGAGGACCACCTAGGAATACTGAAGATCTCCAAGCAGGGCTAGGAAAAAATGTCTTAGATGCTGGAGAGCAGCTGCCAGTCAAAGTTGATAATACTAGGTTAGATGGATTAATGGTCTGGCTCAGCGTAAGGCAGCTTCATCTGTGGCCACATTTCTGACTGCTGCTACCAACTTCAGAGGTGTGATGATCCTAGTCTGGGTTTTCACAGGAGTCATCCAGAGCAGTGGTCCCCAACCTTGGGCCTCCAGATGTTATTAGACTACAACTCCCAGAAGCCTTCACCACCACCTCTGCTGGCCAGGATTTCTGGGAGTTGAAATCCAAGAACATCTGGAGGCTCAAGGTTGGGGACCACTGATCCAAAGGACTCAATCTGTTTGAGAGGTAACCTGGTCTGGTTATGGGCTTTCTCTTTATTATAACTGTTTTTTTCTCTGTTTCAACGGAGAAAACTATGAAAACAGCTCCTTAGTTTTCTGGTGAACCTTAATTACTCCTTGACATCCTGCACACCTACTGATAATATAAAAGATTTATTAAATGGAGATGTACATAACTTTCTCAGAGGGCTTTTACTATAGTAGGCTTTCTTCTAATCCAAGGGAAGTGGTTGAACAGAGATTTTTATATTGTATTTAAATTTATACAAATACAGCAGTCTCGTGGATGATCACACAGAACGTGGTTCTCAAGTTTTGTGGCAAAAAGTTAGGTTGAGTGTGATGATCTTTAACTGTTTCATATGCCAGTGAAATAGTGGAAAAGAAGTAAACATCAGAACGTTTCTTACCGGAGATGTTGTTTTTCCTTAGCTGCTGTGCGTTTTGCTGACATCTCTCCTCTTCAGCCTTCTCTGCCAGTTGGTTGAGGTCTCCAGTCTTGTAAGAATTCAGCTCCTACCTTCATCTCTGTTTGTCCGTCCATTTCGACTCCTTGCCTGGCTGGGCGAAAAGCCTGTGAAAATCATGATCTCTCTGAAGCAAGAAATATCTGCTCTGTCAGCTTCCATCATGAGGAAGAAAGAAAAAAATAACATCTGGAGCTAATGATATGGGCAGGGGAAGTTACAATACTGCTGCTCCACTAAACAAAGGAAAAATGGTACATACATAATAATCACATTTGTCAGAGGAGTTGTGGAATGTGTTTCATTGCATCATCTTAGATGTATGTATATTTTTCTTTTTTAGAAATGGCTAAAGTTGCATGGTTTTTAAGATGTCAGATTTTCCATACTCCAAATGAGTACCGAAACCAAGATTTCAAAGTGGCTATCTAGCTCTTATTTGCAGCCAACCACTTCAAATGCCATTGTTCTATTAAGAAAAAAGAGGTTCCAGTATGTATATATGTAGCAGACTAAGAATTATCTTGGTTACTTCATGCAAACAGAATTCATACTCTCTCCCTTACAAAATCAAAACAGCAAACACCTGTTACTACTTACATGTCGATAAATCTTTCAAAGAGTTTTAACTGGAGGAAGGACACAGTTGAATATTTTATGCTCTGGCACACTTCCATTTAACACTCCTCCAGGGATTATGAGGTGCCCCCTCCCCCTGGCAATCTAGAATTCACAATTGATAGAAAGAAGGGCTAAGGAGCCTTACAGATGAAGGAGAGGCCCTGTTAATTCCAATCAGCCTGGTCAGTGGTTAGAGTCCAGAAACAACTGGTTATACCCAGATTGTTCAGCTTTGGTTTCAGACATATGCAGTACTTGCCAACTTTCTTGAAACAGCTTTTCCTTTAAATATTCCTTTAATAGTCTACATGATAATACAGTGTAATTATTTATTTAAGGGTATCCATTTTTCTCACCATTGTGCACAGAAACCCAGGTGCTTTTCAGACGTTTAAAGCTATAGCTCACCTGCTTCCTGACCTTGGCTCATGCTGGAGGGGGCATATGGGAATTGTAGTCCAAATGCCTAGAGGACCCCAGGACGTGCATTCTGCATACACAGCATTACAGCATGTTTAACTATGTTTTAGACACAGAAATGAACCATGGGGGTTATGTGAACTTCCTCTTGCTTGTACCTTTTTGTCCCTTCTTTCCTATGTGAACTTCCTCTTTTCTTGCTTGTACCTTTTTGTCCCTTCTTTCCCCTTTTTGGAATTTATTGTAAGGTGTGTCAGCATTAGATGGCAGTGTGGTTAGCTTTAAATAAATTTTCAAACAGTCTATAAAGCAGGACTGCCAATACTAGTTTAAATATGTCAACAGTAATACTTCATGCAGAAAGCATATTGTTTACATATGTTGAAATTGTTGCACCTTTATAGTACTTCTAATGACAGATGTTATTTCTACCAGCTATTTATTTCTTTCCCAATAGTTAGTAAGCAAAGGCTAGATAAATGTAGTAACCTAATATATTGTAACCAATGCCAGCTCAATTACTAACCAGAATTCCATGGGCTTTTTACTCCAGAGTAAGTGAAATAGCGTGTTGTAGCAGCAAGTTGCAGCTGGTTTACACCCAGAACAGGGCTTGGCATGCATTCAACACTTCATTAATTTGCTGCTGTGACTTAAACGATTTCAGTTATTCGGGAGTAAAATCCAAATTAGGATGGACTCATTAAAACTGTTTAGGTGAGTCCATAGTTACTTGCATATATCTATGGCCTGTTTAAAAACTAGTTGATTTTGGAGAAAGATTTGAGCTAGATCATAAATAAAATCTATTTTCCTTCATTTCTTTTCATTCAGCAGTACTTGTGTATGGAGCTTTCCCTTCACTCTAAGCCTTTTCTCAGTTCCCCAGCAATTATTCTATATACATCAGAGCCTGAGTCGCAATTAGTAAGTTGTGGGGCTCTACCATACAGAGCATTTGTTCTCTGGAATATATCTCATTGTGTGCTGATGGCTTCAGAGTTTTTCAAGACTCTGTTTGCCTTGACTCAGCGACTGTGAAAACACCTGTGACTTTGTGTCTTCCCTCATCTTCTTTCCAGTGCGTGGTTTATTTGCTAGCTTGTTTTGTTCTAGGTAATCAAGTTTAGCGATATGGCACTTCTCCACAGTTTATTTCTGCAATTGGAGTTTCTCAGTTGGAAGCTTTCAATTAAAATTGTCACTTAAATGCAAACACAAAATTAAGTTGCTCCAGATGGGAATTTGTTTTTCAATCAAATTTCAGAAGATGTTCTTTTATGTTCTTGGAAGCATGGTTGGAAGTTCATTTCTCCATCAAGTTGGAAGTTTTCAGTTAGGCGGAAAAACACACAATGGCACTGAATAGAGACTAAAGAGGCTTGGGTTTGTTTTTTGTTTTATACATATTAGAAATATTTTAAAGGAATAGGTTTTTTTTTCTTGAACATTCTCAAATATATGACTTTTAGAACTAAGGTTTGGATGCAAATCCCCATAAGCCTTATGCTCACAACCATAAGGACAAGAGCAGAGGGAGCAACTCTGGCTTGTATGGAATGGCTGTAGGTCACATTAAAATTATAAGATAATAAGGGATACCTTCATCCCTTTTGCACTACAGCTGCAGCTGTTTTACTTACTGTGACAAGGTTTCTGGGTCTCATCTTTATTTATAGATATTCTAGTCATGATTATCAGTGACTCCATTCTTTTGTTGTGCTATTTGCTCAGTGTCTGTTGTAGCTTTTTGAGTTTCAAGGAGGGTTTCCCTAAGGAGCAGAGAGTTTAGAGAGAGCCACAATGAGAACTAAGAATTTTGTTAGTTTTCATGTAGCATGAAAGTGGGCCATATAATAATCACTTAGGTTAGCTGCTAAGGGTCCAGAAAATGTTGCTGTCACAGATTAAGAGCCAGACTACACAGGGGGAATATATGGGGAAAACTACAGTTTTGGGACTGGCAGATTTGCATTTTTCCCATGGATCACCTAATGCAATGGGAAATGTGAATCAACCCGGAGTCCCACACCTGCAGTCAGTAGTTTTTCCTCTCTCCCAGGACACAGGGTGGTTTTTCTTTTTTACATGTTCTCCCGAATAGGCAGATCTGTTTATTGATTTACAGTTTTAACAAGCTCTCTCCTGGGCAAGATCTTTATTCATATCCTTGCATTACACAATTCAAAATCATGGGCACACATGGAATATGGGCAACATCGAAAGCCAATTAAAACGTGAAGACTATTCTTGACTAGAAGTGGTCAGAGTTCCAGATGTGTGTGAAATATTTTCCCTCAACTTCAGCTGTTGAGGGGGGGGGCTGGGTGTCCACAAAGTGGGAGGTCTGGTGCTGCTCTAGTGCAATGCTTCTGGAAGTGAAGGATTTGTTGGATGTACGTTGTTGCCGGGGGTGGATGGGTGGGGGACACAAGAGTGTCTTCACAACGCTTTGCCACTCTTCGGGGAGGCTCCTTGGATATGAGTACAGTACTTGAGGATGGAAATGCCTTCTTAAGGCAGTCCATTTGAACCGCGCCCCCTACAGGAGGTTCGGAAGTACTGCAATTAGAAGTCTTTTGCGCCTCTGACTGGGGAAGAGAACCGAACGTCCCGGTGTGACTTCACAGGGAAAGAATGAGTTAATTCGCTTTTCCTTTCCCATGTAGTTACATTTATACAAAGTTTAGCCAGTACTTTGCTGTTGTGCTGTCATGTCAATTCCAATTTACTGCCCTGGAGATTTCCTTACATGAACTCCTGTGTGTTACTCAGAAACTTGCAGGCATCGCACTCTTTTCAAAAGTGCGGTGCTAAGAAAAGATGGACGTACCTTGTTCCTTGGAGAAGGCTGAGCAGCAGGCCAAGCTCAGCTTCTCTAACGCTTGCTCCCTGATATTTCCAACTGTCTCTTTTAAAAACGGTTTCTGTATCAACCTGGGAAAAGACTAGCTGTGAGTGGGATCGGGTAGCAAGGAAAGATGCACCTTTCACTTTGTTTCACAACAGTTCGTAACCCAAGGAGGAAAAAAATAGTTCTTGAACACAATTGGAAAACAAGAGGGGGGTACCTTTGGTGGACCACTAAAACGTCTCACACAGGCAGGCTTTTGAGTCCTGGAGGACTCTTCGTCAGGAAGCATTTTACAGAGCTGGGAGTGGTCCGGAAAAAAAGCAGGAAAACTCCAGAAATCCTCATGGCCAGATGTTTGGGCCCGGGTCTCACATTAAAACAAGAAAGCCTAGCCCTAATACGCCGTCACGACGGTTTTAGGGACTTCTCTATTTCTTCTGCGCGCGCAGTTCTGTAATGTCCAGCCTGATGAAGAATCCTGCAAGATTCAAAAGCTTGCCCATTCGTGATTTCAAAAAGAAGTTCCTCCCAGCCTTGTTTAAGAATCACAAGGCAGCTCTTTTAACTGTGGGTGTAGGGGGGGCGGCGCGGCGCGTAGTTCAGCTAATTAAGCTGCGAGTTTGCTCAGAAGCAAAGCCTGCACCCTCTTGCAGCTGAGCTGCAGCCTCTCATTGAACCCGCGCGCCCAGCGGGGCAGATCCCCACAACCACAAGTCAAGGGCAGCCGGGAAGGACCGCTGCGTCCTCCTCCCTTTCACCGCTCGGCAGACTCCTCCTCCGGCTCCCCCCTCCCCTAATCCCGGAGCGCAGGACTGTACTCGATCTCCGCCC